AGAGTTTTTAGTCCAGCTCTCATTCTGGCTCACTGGTGACCATCTGAATGTTCTCATGTACAAACTATATATTCCACTAGTATATCACTGATGGGGTTCAATACATCCACATCCAGCAGCTCTTTAGTTTCCTGAACATCCAACCAGACCGCTGTCTGTGTTCCGCGTCCTGATGCTGCTCAGGCTGCTGTGAAGCTCCTGTGGTGACGTAAGGCTCTATCTCCGTTATGATTGGTCGGTTTCAGTGATTGACACCGCCTTCGAATCATTAGAGCCAATAGAATGTAGCAATAGCCACCAACATGAGAGTGACAGCACTGTTAGCCAATCAGAACCAGCAGGACGCCATCTTGAAGGCGAGCCGCTTGCTGTTCCCTCCTTAGCTCCCTGAGGCTAACGAAGCCGCCAAAAGACGCCCGGAGTGATTTCAGTGTGACACAGGAAATAGTACTAACTGGTTCCGGTGTGGATTTACCGATGAAGTGAACTTTTACCGGCTGAACAGCTGTAAGGTAAGAGACATTTCCAGCTTTCATAAATGCATTAAAACGTGTCCCAGACGACTCACAGGTTCATCAAGATGACTCAGTGGTCGAGAAATTTATCCAGTATGAGTGAAAAATGTCTTGAATCAACTCAGAGATGCTGAAGATTTGAGTAAAATGACAAAAACTAGTTCAAACTTATGCAGAACTGCTCCTAAATTAGTTCAAATCGAACCAAAATGCTGAAGAAGTCTCTTCAATCACCTGAAAATAGTCAAAATCTTTTCAAAATTAAAGAACTTGAAAGATTCAAACCGGCTCAAGACTTCTTTAAAATACCGGACACTCATCCAAAGACTTAATTTGTCCAAAATGGTTTAAAACTTAATGAAAATGTTAAAATCCTGTCCTGTGGTCAAATTTAAGTCACTTGAAAATTGTCGTAATTAATAAAAAAAAAAAGACTCAAAAATTTTCCCTGAAGGTTTCAGAATGAGTCTAAAGTGACTCAATGTGACCAAAATATTGCAAAATTGTTCAGAGAATGACTCAAAGTAATTCCAAAATGACAAAAAACCCACAAGAAGAACATCATTGATTGAAACCGATAGAAAAACAGGAAATAAATCCTCAATCATGAAGGACGTCGAGGATGTGAAGCTAAAGAGAACGTCTGGTTTAAATCAGGACGTTTCATCGACTCAGCAGCGACTTTTCAGCTGAACTGGTGAAAAACAAAATCAGGTTTCCTCCAAACACATGAAGGAGAACTCAGCCGGGCTGCACCAGAAGCTCATGTGGACGGTGACGAGGTCTGCAGATTAAGATCTGGTTGCCGTGGCGTCGACAGGATGCAACGGGTCGTCTGGTGTAAGAGCCAGAGAGCAGGAACACGTGTCGAAACCTGTTGCAGCAATTTCACAAGAAATTCTTCTTCGTAGGAAGCAGACGGTGAAGCCAAGAGTTCTGCTGCAGCCCGACGGTTTCTCAGAATGAAGGTCTTCTGCGTCGTCCTGGTCTGCTGCTGCGCTCCAGGTAGGAGGTCCTCACCAGGACCAGGTCCACGCTGGTGTCAGCATCACACACACCCACGACTTCTTACAGGACACACATGGTTTCTGTCAGCGATCTGATTGGTTGTTCAGTCGACAAATCGTCAGGAAAACGTGAAAAATATTCATCACGACTTCCTGAATGTTTACAACAACAAACAGTCGACCGCCATGTGTAAACAGGAAGCTGGTGCTTGAGAATCCGTTTCAATGAATTATTACACGAGTCATTCTGTATGAAGTCAACTCGGTGTGAACAAAGTTCCCCCAGAACCTCCTCAGAACCAGCTGGTTCTGTATCAGCAGGACCTTTATTTAACGAAGCAGAGTTCCACCTTCATAGTGTGAATATTAATGAGTGACCTGAACGGTTGTGGGTCGGTTTACGTTTAACTCCAGACAGAAGCTGGTCTCCATCCTGACTTTAGTCTCTGAACTAAGTTTAGTCTCAGGTTCAGTCCAGAGGTCCAGGTCCTTGAAGTCCACAGAGGAGGGTCCAGATTGATCACTTTAATGGACTTTTTCCATCATTTCTGAGCCTCAGAACTTCATCAGTACAGCAGATAGACACATGACATTTAGGAGGAAGAACACATCTGGGTTCTGCCAGAACCTGACACCAGATCAGTTCTACATCCATCCAACAATCGTCGGTACCCTGGAACTGGTTCTGTTTGTTCAGAATCAGTCAGAAATGTTCAAAATGTCTTAAACTTGGCAAAAAAGTCTCATAATTTGTCCACAATGAGCAAAAAATATAATAAAAGATAAGATAAGATAAAGATACCAAAGTTATGCCCAATGTCTCAAAACTTGATCAAAATTACAGAAACCTCTGAAAAAATCTTTCAAAACTGGTCCTAAATGAGTTCATAATTAACCAAAATAACACAAAAATTCTCAAAAATGACTCAGAATTTGTCCACAATGAGCCAAAATGGACCAAAACACAACAAACCTGAACGAATCACCTCCAGGCTTCTCCAGAATACGCCTGATTTATGCAGAATGACTCAAAACTTGACCAAATGCCAAAAAAAAGTTTTAAAAATCCTTCAAAACTGATCCTAAATGAGTTAAAACTCAAACAAATCACTCAAAAATTCTCCACGACGTAAAAAATGTTAGAAGTTTCCCAACAATTCTCTATAACCACGTAAAATTACTCCAATAACGGTCCAAAACTCTGACCAAAATGATTTAAAACCTTCTCTAGGAGTCGTAGGAATGAACCAGAATGAATCAAACCGCGTCCACCATCACAGGAAAACTGAGCCAAACATTTACCAAAATACCTCCAACTCATCCAAATTATCCTGAACGTTTCCCAAAATGTCCCAAATAAACCAAAATATCTCAAAACAAGACTCAGAGTTTGACTTCATCACCAACAACAAGTCATCAATGTGTTAAAATGAACAAAAAATACAAAAACAGTGTCGACAACAACCTGGAAATGGTCCAGAATGATTCAGAACATGTCCAGAGTTAGTAAAACATCATCTCCTGTTGGAGCAGCAGTATTATGGGATGTCTCGTAGCACCACTCTGAGCTTGTTTGGCTAAAGTCCACCATGTGGCGCCGCTCACTCTGTTTGTCTGCAGCTCTGTGCGACGCAGCGACCTTCATGAAGACCGTGGGAGAAGACTTCCGGTTCTCGTTCGGCTTCAACCGGTCCCAGACCGGCGCCGGGCTCCTGTGCAGGAACAGCTGCAGGAGCGACGACGTCCTGATGGTGGCCGAGGGGGGCGGAGCCAAGAGCGGCAGGTACGAAGTCAGGTACGAGGACGGGGAGGACCGAGTGCAGCTGGTGATCAGAGAGCTGAGGCGCTCCGACTCGGGCCGGTACCGGTACGCAGAGGTCGACTCCGCCTCCCCGAGGCCACACCTGGACTTTGAGATCCGAGTCAGAGGTGAGTTCTGTCCAGCGGGTCGACACCAGCGCCTACCAGCTACAGGTCCTCCTGGAACTAACCTGGAACAGTTTGGTTCTGAAAAGCCTGAACAGCAGCTTCTGACCATCTCTGAGCTTTTACTTTGAAAGTGCATCAACCAGCCAATCAGCTGCAAGTCCCCGCTTCCTGCAGCAGACTGAGGATCGGACCCTCAGATTAACGCTCACAGCTCAGAAACCAGACGTCGTATCGGACCGGTTCTGTCAGCGTGTGAAGCCTGAGGTTCTGTGTTTGATACAGATGTGGAGGCAGCTCAGAGACTCACCGTCTGTGGTTTAGAGCTCAGGTCGTAGATTATTTATCCATATTTAGATGTTCTGGACAGATTTTGAGTAATTTTAGACCAGATTTGTGTCATTTTGGCCTCATTTTAAGTCATTTTGTTGAAAAATAGATAAACATTTGCATAATTTTGGATAAGTTGAGTCATCTCAGGCTTTTTTTGGACTATTTCGTGTCATTTCTGACCAGATTTGTGTCTTTAGGACCGATTCTGAGTCATTCTGGACATTTTAATACGATCATCCTTTACTGATTAAGTTGAAAGAAAAATGCCTGAAACATCAGTTCTTTATCTGCACATCCGTCTCAAATCATCAAAAATCACCTTTTCCCTACATTTCTTATTTAAAATGTGCCAAACAAGAACAAAGCGGTGAGCGGTGGTGCTGCTCGGTGCTGCTCGGTGCTGCTCGGTGAAGCCCTGAAGCTGTCGGTGACTCTGACTCCAGAGTCTGCAGCAGACCAGCTGACTCCAGGTCTTTGGTTCTGACTCCAGGGATGTGTGCCGGAGGCGTGATCTCCGCAGAACCCAGAGTCCACAGCAGCACCGAGGGAGGAAACGTCACGGTCCGGTGCTCCCTGAACGCGGCCCGACGAGACAGGAAGTTCTTCTACAGGACGGACCAGGAGGAGACGCTGGTGGAAGCGTTCGGAGGCCGAGCGGCCAGCAGCAGGTTCAGCATCCAGCACGACGGCGGCCGGACCTTCAGCCTGACCATCACGGGCCTGAAAATGTCCGACTCGGGGCGGTACCGGTGCGGCGTCGGAGGACCGAACGCATACAACACATGTCTGGAGTTTGAGATCCAGGTTTCAGGACGTGAGTTTGGAATCAAGTGTTCCTGCAAGTTCTGGAGACTCGAGAACGTCTCACTGTTGTCAGGAACTAATCAGTTAGAGTGATTGTTTATATGTTCCTGAGTCCTTTAACTCCGTTACCTCCTAGCTTTCATCTGGGTTGTGTTATTGTTAGCATTAGCATTGTTAGCATTATTGTCATCATCATTATTATTATTAGCATTCTTGCTATTATTAGCATGATTCTGATGATCAGATTATTATTATTAGCATTATTAGCGTTAGCAGTGTTAGCATTATTATCATCATCATTGTTATTAGCATTCTGGCTATTATTAGCATGATTCTAATGACATTGTTATTATTATTAGCATTATCATTATTGGCTTATAATTATTATTTTTTT